GGTGACCCATTACAATGTGACCATCTGGGTAGGTAACCCATTATAATATACCATCTGGGCAGGTGACCCATTACAATATACCATCTGGGTAGGTAACCCATTATAATATACCATCTGGGCAGGTGACCCATTACAATATACCATCTGGGTAGGTAACCCATTATAATATACCATCTGGGCAGGTGACCCATTACAATGTGACCAACTGGGTTGGTAACCCATTACAATATACCATCTGGGCAGGTGACCCATTACAATGTGACCATCTGGGTAGGTAACCCATTACAATATACCAACTGGGCAGGTGACCCATTACAATGTGACCATCTGGGTAGGTAACCCATTACAATATACCAACTGGGCAGGTGACCCATTACAATGTGACCATCTGGGTAGGTAACCCATTTTGGGCCGGTAACCCATTACAATATACCATCCTATACTGGGTAGGTAACCCATTACAATATACCATCACAAAAAAAAAATCCTCGTATTTTTATTCTTCATCGGGCAGGTCGCTCGGAACAATTAGACCACTCATAAAATTCTTTGCGTTTCTTTTATCATTGGGCAAGTTGCCCAAAACAATTTGATCCATTTAAAAAAAAAGATAAAAAAAGATAAAAAACAAAAAAAGGGGGTCGTCTTCCAAATGTCTTGTTCTCTCTATAAAAGTCATATGTCAATCTATTGTTTTCGAAGTTTTCAAGACTACCAAAAAAAAATCTCTTTCTGTGTTTACTTTTCTTTATAAATTTACTACACAAAGCTAAAGAAAATGAAAATTTCCAATATCTTTGCATTGTAAATATTATAAAGAGGGGGCAACTGTCATAACCCAATTTTGACCCTTTGGCTTTTAATTTAATTTTTACAGGGTTTAAAATGAAAAATTAAAAGATTAGAGATTTATTTCGATGAAAAGTATGATTTGTCAACTTCTGTAAAAATTAAGGATTACAATGTCCCTTTGTCATTATAGCCTTATCCTCAAGATAATCATTATCTTCTTTAAGATAATCCTTACCTTCAAGTTAATTCTTACCTTTTTCAAGATAATCCTTATCTACTTCAAGATAATCCTTACCTTGTTCAAGATAATCCTCAAGATAATGATAGTTGTCTGCTTTTGAATTTGATTCTAATTCGAACTTCAAAAAAAAGAATAAGTTTGATTGAAACTTGATTTCTCACACATAAAGGGACTCTGACACTATAAATACAGATGTCAAGGGTAAAGAAAAGAGGAGGGATGAACCCGAGAGCAGAGAATTAACCTAGAAAAATAGAGCAAAAGAAGGAGAGAGAGAGGAAGGAGGACCATTAGAGAGAAACCCTAAAATAAAAAACTTCAAGAGGAGGCCATTACCAGAAACCCTAAAAGAGAGAAACATAAAAAAGAAGGGGGCGGTGAACCCTATACTAGCCGCCGCCCCCCTCAACCCTTTTTCATCCCAGTCTCCTTCGACTTCACCTTCAGCAACCACAGGCCTAGGTAAGTTTCCTTCCTTTCTTGTTAAAATAATTAACTAGTTACTGTGTTTGTTAGGGGTGTGCTTGACAAGCATAATTTTTATGCCTTGACCATAATTTTTATGCCCATTCTAATTTGATATTTCAACAAATAAACCTCTTTTTGATAACATAAAATTCCAAAAATATTTTGGGCCTTCGCTAATTTATTTGTGGACCCCTCGCATTTTTTTCTTTTCTTTGTGCTTGTATTTTTTTTTTTTGTAGATGTGCTCAATTTATGGACTATTTCTGTTAAATACAAATATGTCATGCCATTTTTTTTTTAAAAAAAAATTTCCATATAAAAAGAGCAAATAATAATAAAGGATAAATAAAAAAATGAGATAGAAAATTTATTCTTCAAATTCATTTTTTGGAAAACATTCACTAACGTTAGAGTCAGGAGTCTTGTATTTCTGGTCTTGTGCGATATTTACCAACGCCAGAGTTGGAAATATTCATAGGAATTGTTCACTAACGCTAAAGTCAGGAACATAAAAGTAACAAAAAATAAAAAAATAAAAAAAATATGTATACATGAATAAAAATAATGTAAATTTATTGGTTTATTCACTGATGCCAGAGTCAGGAATAAAAATACCAGTTTAAATTTATATTATTTTTATTCGTTTTATTTTATTTTATTTAGCTAGAAAAATAAAAAAAAATATGTGCATGCGTAAAAATAAATTTATTTGATTTGTTTATTCACTGACGCCAGAGTCAGGAATAAAGAATATTAATTTAGATTTATTTTATTTCTATAGCTGTGTAATATTTACCAACGCCAGAGTTGGAAATATCCATAGTTAAATATTCACTGACGCCAGAGTCAGGGATATTATAAGCAAATTATCATAGCACAAACTAATAAATATATAGCAATTTAAGACGAAACTAGCAATGCAGTCTGCCTCAGGCAGGACGTTTAAGAGGTGATATTATCTTCCCTTTTACGTAACCAATCCCGAACCATAGAATCTTTGTTGATCAGTTAGGGTTCCTAGTGACCATAATACTAGGTGGCGACTTTTTAAACAAGACCATTCCCCCATCAAAGAATAGGATGCCAGAAATCTATTTTTTTCATGAAATTATATTTTTAAGACCGTCGTGATGTCGGGTGCGACATTTGGTATGAAAATAAGTCGTAGATTCTTATTCGTCCTTTGCTTTAGAACGGAGAGGGAACTCTAGCTAGAGTGGGGCTTCAGCAATATTATTACTGTGGCAATATTAAGAGAAAGTAACTTAACCGGTAAGATTCTAAATTTATTTTTTAAAAATTATTAGTTTAAGTTTTATAATTTTTAAGAATATTTATATAATTATTAATTTTAAAACTCATAAAAATAATTAAAATATACCGAAGTTACTCTGGACAGTATCCATGTTAATAAAAAAAAAACATTGTTATCGTGGCATGGACCAGAGACTTTTAGCGCGGGCTTAAGTATTAAATTGGACGGTGCCCTCTCCAATTACAGTAGAATTAGGGTGCATTTAATAACAAGAATTTTCAACAACCTATAAGTACGACCTCCTCAAAAGCTGTTTACTGGAATGCTCAGGATCTGGGCTTCTTCAAGAAGCTCGTAAGGTGTTCGATGAGAAACATGTATTCATGAAGCATTATGATTTCGCTGTGTGGGCAGAGTTATTGCTACTTAGATGCCATTTGTGGCTTTGGTAGGTTTTCGAAAATGGATTTTGTACCGTATCATTGTAATTGGCCTAAGGAGTTTTTTCTGGGAATCTAGTATAGTATAAAAATAATATATAATAACATAATATATAAAATATTTTAAAAAATAACATATTGCAAACAATCATATATATATATATATATATGTATGTATGTATGTATGTATATATAACTCATAAATTATAAGTATAATCAAAGACTCCTGAAAAAAAAAATCATATGAGTATATTAAAACTTTGATAATAACATTACTAATGTTGTTGAAAAAATCTAGATGAAATAAATTTAATTACACTAAAAATCACTAACAATTATCAAAATTTTAATGTGTTTTCAATAGTTTTTTTCTTTTTATTGAATTTTATATTTAATAATTTTATAATTTAAGAATGTGGCGAATAACATGTGCCACTCGTTAGATGTTATTTGCAACTAAAAATTTTGATTTATTTGCAATACAGTATATTTTATTTTAGATAGAATTATATCTTATGATTATTATCTTTTATTTTGTATGATCAACTTCTTACCCTTCATCTCTAAAAATAGAGTAGTAATAATAAATAACTGACTTCTTTCTTTCTTTTTCCCTCAAAGCTCCACGCATCCATGTCCCTACATGACACACGCAATAAGCCACGTGTCCTCGTTCTGTTATTTTTTATATTTTAAATCTGTGTTATTATTATATTTTACGGGATTAATATTGATACTGATTGATTGATGTTCGTTGTCTTGGGATCTAAATTCCCAACGACCACACGGTTTCTATAGCTTGGCCACTTGAACTTTCCACTCTGCTTCGAGGAAATGAATTGATTGTTGTTGAGAAATGATAAACAAGGCCTGCATTGACACGTTAAAGTAAACTTGACCCGCTCTCCATTCTTATCTTTTTATTATATATATTAAATAATTATAAGTGGTGGAGATTTATTTGTTTTTAAAGAAAAATTATAAAGATTTATCCTATATGAACAATTTATACATACATACATATATATATAAATTATTGTTTTGTAACAATAAACCATGCACTTCATTCATTAAGCTCAAGGTCAACCTCTTTTTTTCCCAATCTGTCACTTCCTCGTCCCTCTCTCATGAAAGATTGTCTCTCCTCTCCGGCTTTCGCAGTCCCTTCTGCTATGGGCATTGATGCCGATGACTTTGTTTTTAATTTTTCTTAGGAATGCGATTGATCATTACATTAGAGGTTTCCGCATCCTTTCGGATATGGCCCGGAATGAAAATCGTTAGTTTTTAAAATCTTGAGAGCCAAGAAAAAATTAAAAAATAAAAAAGCCCCCGGGCTTCACGTGCAAAAGAATGCATCAGAAAAGCCTTTGGCAAAGGAATTGGAACACGATGGAAAGATTGCTCTTATGAGTTTTCTTTTCATGTTTCCTAAAAGTTTTTGGAACTTTGAATAACCAAAAACTCAGAAGTTCTGCTGGTAGTTTTTATTTTTTAATTTTAGATATCGTTTCTGCAGGTTTTCACTAACTGTCCCCTCTCATTCTCAATCACTACCATCCACCACTGTCAGTTGGCAGCCACCAGTACTTGATTGCCAAACAGTCAGAGGTTGCCAATAGGTGACTGGTCAGAATTAATCTGTTGTTAACCTTTTAGTTGGAGTCACTGGTCGCCATTGGTTAGTTGATGGCCATCTGCTGGTTGGCAATGGTATCCGCTGTGTGGATTGCCAACTGGTCAGAGTTTGGCTGGTAAGAGGTCGATGGTTATCAATTGTATATTAAGTCACCTGATTTTGGATTTCTCTTCCTTGTTTCTTCACCAAACAAATTATTGTGGCAAACATCCTCAGTGGATGAGGAATATCCAGTATGTATAATGTCACCTGTACAGGCCACATACACTATAACCAATTGTACATTAAGAGTCACCACCATAAAAACTGGAAACCAAAATCATGAAAATTACACGTAGAAATTGGAACTTATACCAATTAATCCCAAAGTATTAACATGAACTTGGTGAGTGATTTTGAACTTTATTCATTGTCAATCTTTTATATCCACAAGTTTAATCAATTATCTTCGTAGACCTCCTTTTTCATCCAATAGCTGTGTTTTATCTGTTCTGATTATGTCAGCTGCCATACTGAATTTGAATAAAGAAAAATTAATGATACGTAAGAGGAGGGGGGGGGGGAATGGGGTAATAGTGTGTGTTGCATTTAGTTCCATAGATTGATGCCTATCATTTTCCAAGTTCCCTGATGTTTGTGAGTCTTGGCAAATGATTGTGGAGCTTAATTTGGTTTTTCTATTTGTATAGCAGATTCGCAATGTCTTGGATCTCATGCGTAGGGGTGAAAGCTTGCGATTTGAGGTAGGAATTGTAGAAACTCTTGGTGTATGTTTCAGTTTATTACATGTTAATTGGAAAGATGAGCTGTATGTGTAATTTGCTGCTTCTTTTTTTTTTTTATTTATTTATTTATAAGCTGCTGGTGGTTGATGGCTTGAAAACAAATCTTTAAGCCACAAACAGTGGATAGTTATAGCTGCTAAACAATTTATATATTTATATCGGTTTCGATCTTATTATGGTTCTGAAATGTTCACGAGTCACTTTGATCTGGGATAAGTTGTGGAAATAATAAGGCCATTATCAAGCGAAGTTTGTTCACCAGATTCATTTTCCTCTTTAGCACAACAAAAGATCTGGAACCTGCATTTTCTAAATATGTGAACTGTTGACCCCAATTTGCATGAGATGTTACTCGGGCATTTAACTTGAGGCTCTTATTCTGGTCCATTCACTGCCATCTGAATGACATTTTACGCATTCAGAACATGCACTTCTGAGGTACAGATGCTAAACATTTTGTGATTCCCCAACTGATAATTAATCCTGGGGCTTGTGTATGTTAGTTTTTAATTGTAGTATGGTGGGATGAACAACCAGGAAATTTTCTCCCATTATATAAACACTCTCATGCTAACAGATGAGTGAACTCACTTGTATTCTCAATAGTATCAGATTTTTAACTTCCGCTCCTGCTTGTGTGCAGGATGTTATGATTCTTGACCAATCAGTTTTGCTTGGAGCAGCTGACATGTATGATAGGCATAGGGATATGCGGCTTGACGTTGATAACATGTCTTATGAGGTAGAATCTAAGAAACGGTTTCTTGGTGTCTTTTTTGTTGTGAAGACTCTTCTTGTAATGGATTTCTTTTCTGGAATTACAGGAGTTGCTGGCTTTGGAAGAGCGCATTGGGAATGTCAGTACTGGATTGAGCGAAGAAACTATAGTAAACAACTTAAAACAGCAGAAATACTCTGTTGCTGTTGGAGCGAAGGTGGAGGCTGAACCATGCTGCATTTGCCAGGTAATGATTTTGTCCTCTGGATTGGTGCCTTGAGTCCAGAGGCTCTTCTTTGCTTCACTAATTATTTTCTTCCTTGCAGGAGGAATACAATGATGGAGAAGATCTTGGAACGCTGGACTGCGGACATGATTTCCACGTGGAGTGTGTTAAGCAGTGGCTGATGCACAAGAATTGGTGCCCCATCTGCAAAACAACAGGACTTGCTACATGAGAAAGGGTAAAGATGTTAAGGCCATTACACACGGTTGGTACACGGTTGTACGCTGAAAACGTGAGAGGCGTGGCCCTGGAAATTATCTCATATTTTGGTTACTGGATGGTGAGCGCTGCCATACACCACCTATTCTGGTTGCCCTCATTGTCTTGGCAAGTCAGGAGTCATTTTTTCAAAAAAAGAAAAAACACAAATAAAGAAAGAAAACATAATGCTAGTGGATGTTGCAACTGTCAAAAGAAGTGGGGACGCAGAAGTGGGATTCCAAATTTATTTATCATTGAAAGTTGGTGGATGCCGCAACTTTCAAAAGAAGTGGGAATTGCAAAAACTGGTTTCATACATTTTATTTATCGTTGAACGAGTAGTTTATGATATCAATTGAATATTCAACTGCCTTATTTTTATTTTATTTTTCTGTTTCAAGTACTGACCTCTTATATTTGCAATTCTGGAGTTTTTGGAGAATTTGATGGTACCTTTTCTTTTTTTGGTTACGTTTTCTTATTCAAAATTTCCAGCGTAACTTGGTAGTTCATGGGCACCGTTGCAAATTCTAGAGCTGGATTGGATTAATACAGGAGTATTATTTCCTAGCAACGGATTAGGTACAGCATCCGACGCAAACAGGGGGGTAATGGCGTCCCTTCCATTCTCGTTTTTCTACTCGCCTGCTCGCCAATTTTTATTTTTCGATTTATCAACACAAGCTAGGTGCTGTCGACGTTCAACAATTTTCGTTTTCTCACCTAACCACTCATCCATTTTTTTTATTTATTTATTAGTTTGATACCCTGGAGGTGTTTTTTTTTTCCAGCAAAAAATAATATATGCCCAAACTTGAGAATTATACATGTTAATAAATAATCGGAAAGTTAATATAAATATGCTATTAAAAAAAAATCAAATATTTGTTTTGGTTTGAAATTTGATTTTTAAAGTTTCAATTGATTTGAATTAATAAAATTAAATTTTATTTTTTAAATTAAGCATTATAAAATTGAATTTTATTTTTCAAATAGACTAACTCATATCAAGCCAATTAAAATAAAACATTAACTTAATTTCGAGTAAAAAGTCAAGGAATAAAAAAATATATATGGGTAATTATTGCAACCCCAATTGAATTGTCTTTTTTCTATGTTGTAATTTCATTATTTTTTTAATATTTTTTCTATTTCACATCATCTTACTTATTCACGATTCTAATCATTTTATTTATGGTTTATTGATCATCAATTTTATGAAATATAACTACAATGAATGTAAAATGATTAAATTAAGAAAAAATATCATTGTAAAATAATTAAATTAAGAAAAAATAATAATATGAGTAACTATTGCAACCTTAATTAGATTGTTTTTTTTATATTATATTTATATTATTTTTTAATATTTTTTTCATATTGCATCATCTCACTTATTCATGATTCTACATCATTTTATAGTTCATCGATCATCAATTTTATGAAACATAACTACAAAGATTAAATAGAAAGCAAAATGACTCAATAAAAAGAGAAGATGTAAATAAAAACAAAATGACTTAATTTTAAATTTGTCGTACTGTACTGAGACATGTAAGGATAAAAATAATAATTATTATAGTTTTAAAATCAAATATAAAAATCAACTTGGGACAAGACCCATATCACCGCCCAGAGGTCAACCCGAGTCAACTTTAATTTTTTTTTAAGAAAAAGATTAAAATAATATTATTTTAACTGTTAAAAAATAATATAAATCATATTCTAAAACCTCACCCAACAGCTTAAATTTTTAGGTTGAGATGGTTTTTTGACATGGTATCAGAGCCTTGATGATCAAGCGGTCACGAGTTCGAATCTTATCATCCTTATTTATTTGATAAAAATTAAGCACAAGATAGAGTGAGTTTATACAAATTTCAAGCTGAAAGGATTTTTACCTGAGGCGGTGTGTTAGAGAATAATATAAATCATATTCTGAAACCTCACTTAACAGCTTAAATTTTTAGGTTGAGATAATTCTTTGACATTAACAAAAAAAAAATCATTAAGTTTTTTACCTGAGTTAGCCAGGAATTGAGAAAAAATCATCAGATTTTTTACCTGAGTTAGCCAGGGATTGAGTAAACCTTGGTGAGGCCAAGTTAATCTTATCTATATTTTTTAAACTCGAATTGAAGCAAACATCAAGTTAGCTAAGCCCTGCGTCAACCCTTTGAGTTAATTCATGTTTTATAACTAAGAATATCATACTATTATTAATTTTAATACTTAATATAAACTAAAAAAATCTAATTATTTTTTAAAATTATTTAAATTTCACAGTAATATATGTTAAGGGTAAATATTTTTTTTAATATTTTATTTTGTCTCTTTGATTGTCAAATAAGATATAAAAATAGTAATAATTTTTTTAATATTTTATTTTGTCTCTTTCATTGTCAAATAAGATATAAAAATAGTTATTTTATTTAATACATCTTTATCATACAATTTTGTTTTTCTGTCTTCTATTCTATTTTGTCTCTTTTATCCCACTATTCTTATCATGTTCATTATAAAACAATAATCGAATTCTATCTTAAAGTATTAAGCTGGGGCTAATTAGCAGCCCAGATTGTAACCAAACTTCCTGTTCGGTTTACCTCCTCTACGAAAAC